TCATAATTACCCTAGGGACTCCTAATATATAGTAATTTCTTTCCATCAAAGAAACTACCATATATTCATAACTACATAATATTATCTGATATATTATTTATTTTGAGAGACAAGGTAAAAAATTTATTACCTTATATGTGGGGACCACTAGAAGTCTCTAGAAAAGACGGTAAATTTCTAACAGAATCAACAATGGATAAGAATACGAATAAGGAGAAGGTGCAATTTTACATCTACAACACAATGAGCAGGCAAAAAGAAGCCTTCAAATTGAAGGAACCTGGGAAGGTTAAGATGTACGTGTGTGGCGTTACTCCGTACAATTTGAGTCACATGGGCCATGCCCGTGCCTACGTCGCCTTCGATGTTCTCTACAGGTACCTCAAATACTTGGGATATGATGTTGTTTATGTGCGCAACTTTACTGATATAGATGACAATGTAATCCGTCGGGCTAAAGAACTTGGATCGGAGAAGAAGTTGATCCAATAGTTCTGAGTGCTCGATACAGCCAAGAGTTTCTAAAAGACATGGATGATCTCCAAGTCCTCCCACCCACTCATCAGCCACGTGTTACTGAGCATATGGAGCAGATTAAGGATATGATTGCTAAGATAATGAGCAATGGTTGTGGATACATTTCTCTGTCGATAGTTTTCCAGCGTATGGTCAATTATTATCTGGGCAAAATTTAGAAGATAATTGTGCTGGAAAACGAGTTGAAGTTGATTCAAGAACGCGGAATCCTGCTGATCTTGCCTTGTGGAAGGCTGCAAAGCCCGGTGAACCAAGTTGGGACAGCCTCTGGGGTCTTGGAAGACCAGGTTGGCATATAGAATGCAGTGCAATGAGTGCCTACTATTTTAACACATTCTTTTGATATACATGGTAGTGGAATGGACTTGATATTTCCTCACCATGAGAATGAGATCGCCCAGAGTTGCGCTGCTAGCAGCCCGGAGGGTAATGTTAGCTACTGGATGCATAATGGTTTTGCCAAGATAAATCATCAGGGAACTTCTTCACTATACGTGAGGTTACTCGATTGTACCATCCCCTTGCATTGAGGTACTTGTTGTTGGGGACGCACTACAGTTCTCCTGTTAATTACTCAATATCATGCATAGAAATTGCCTCAGATTCAGTATTCTACATTTATCAGACGTTACATGATTGTGAAGAAGCTTTGTCGTCATCCAAAGTACTAAAGGGGGTGGTTGTGCGTGTTAGCCGCGAGGCCGAGAAATGCATCAGAAAGCTGCGTAATGAGTTGGAGACAAAACTTGCTGATGATTTGCATACGCCTACCCTTTTAAATGTTGCTCTTCGGGAAGCCCTTAGATTTATGAATACTTGTTTGAATGAGCATAGGCAACAACAACAACATGAATTAGCTGTTCTAATCGTGGCCCTAGCTGAGCTCGGAAAAGAAGTGAAGGCAGTGTTGGATGTCCTCGGATTGGTAGCTGTTGGTTCAACTTGTGCTGAGGTTTTGCAGCAGTTTAAAGAGAGGGCATTGAAAAGAGCTGAGTTGACAGAGGAAGATATTTTGCGTGCGATAGAGGAAAGAGCACTAGCAAGGAAAAATAAGGAGTTTAAAATTTCTGCAGATGATTAATATTCGCATATGCATTATTGATTTGTTTGCTTATTAACTTGCACAGATGAAATGAAATAGCACTCTGTTTTTTTCTTTTCTTTTAGGCAACCCTTAATGAGCGGTCTCACAATAAGACGGAAACTTGATTTTACAATTCTATGTAGCAGTAAAGCAGGATCACAGTCTGTGTACAGTTGAAGTGTTAGAGAAAACTGTAGTTAATGTTAGAATGAGGAATGTTAGTGGACTTAATTCCACAAAGCCTGATTGTTATTCATGTCAAAGAGATGAATGACTCTTAACTTCTACTTCGAAGATGTTAGAAGTATTGAACTTTTTCACACTTGATGGTTCCATTCAGTTAGTATTGGTATTTTTTTCTAATTATGATTCCATACGCTCATGTTAGAGTAAGTTTGTTGACAATGCACATGAAATGAAAGTTCTGGTGGGCCCCATAATTGAGAAGGTGCACACACTATTGCGCTTAGTACAACATAACTAAAGCACGAAATTCCGAGAAATAACAGAAATGCCCCTGATCGTCAAGCTAGCACGTTGATAGAGAGATGCTAAACTATCACTTATAGAATGGTAGAATTTGAGCGAACATGAAAAGGAACAATAGGAAGAGGGATTGATCTCTTATTAGGCTGTCGCTGGTAACTTTTTGCCTTAGAGTAGTTTACAGGGAAATAAATAAGGGCCCACACATTCATGCCACTATAGTTCAAATTGTGACCTCGTGACTACTATTTATTCTTAGGAAGTGGTTCAGTTGGCATCGGAACACTAATTTTCGCGGTCTTAGTAACGCGTTCCACATAAAAGACAGAAACTTACAATGAATAGAGTCCCAAAGCACCATAATTTCTTGGGAACAAATTTGTAATAAGAGGGAGGAACATGATTGGATGGTTCTTGTGGAACAAATTTGTAATAAGAGGGAGGAACAGAAGTTCAAAGAATTATGTAAGCACTAGAGTAAGACAATATACATGTACTGATTAGTCAGAATTCAGAAAGAAGGGCAACAACAACAACGACGACAACAACAATCCAGTGAAATCTCACTAGTGGGTCTGGGGAGGGTAGTATGTACGCATACCTTACACCTATCCGAAGGGGTAGAGAGGCTGTTTCCGAAAGACCCTCGGCTCAAGAAGACAAAAAGAGACAATATCAATATTATCACAAAAACCATAAGAAAATATAAAAAAACAGGAGCAACATAAAATCCAGAAGAAAGCTGCAAAACAAAAGCGATAACTAGTAAATAGGTCCGGCACTAAAAAAGAAATAGTAAGACACGATATTGCCACCCGTTACCAAGACAAAACCCTACAAGACTACTCTAGCAACGGAACGAACTAATGCAAGACACAACTACCTCCTAACCTACAACCCTAATACTAGACCTCCACATCTTCCTATCAAGTGTCATGTCCTCGGAAATCTGAAGCCTCGCCATGTCCTGCCTGATCACCTCTACCCAATACTTCTTAGGCCGCCCTCTACCTCTTCTCATGCCCTCCACAACTAGCCGCTCACACCTCCTTACCGGAGCATCTGGGCTTCTCCTTTGTGTATGCCCGAACCATCTGAGCCTCGCTTCCCGCATCTTGTCATCAATGGTAGCCACGCGCACCTTCTCCCGAATATCATCATTCCTAATCTTGTCCATCCTAGTGTGCCCGCACATCCACCTCAACATCCTCAGTTCAGCTACTTTCATCTTCTGGATATGTGAGTTCTTAACCGGCCAACACTCAGCCCCGTACATCATGGCCGGTCTAACTACCGCTTTATAAAGCTTACCTTTGAGTATCGGTGGCACTCGCTTGTCACACAGGACTCCAGATGCTAACCTCCACTTCATCCATCCTACGCCAATACGGTATGTGACATCCTCGTCGATCTCCCCTCCCCCTGGATAACCGACCCAAGGTACTTGAAGCTGCATCTACTTGGGATAACCTGTGAGTCAAGCCTCACATCCAGGCCCACTTCCCCCTGCTCAACGCTGAACTTACACTCCAGGTATTCCGTCTTCGTCCTGCTTAGCTTGAAACCCTTAGACTCAAGAGCATGTCTCCAAACCTCCAGCCTCTCGTTAACACCGGTACGCGACTCATCAATCCGAACTATGTCATCGGCGAATAGCATGCACCATGGCACCTCCCCTTGAATATGGTGTGTTAGCGCGTCCATCACCAGGGCGAATAAGAACGGGCTGAGCGTAGAGCCTTGGTGTAACCCTATAACAACCGGAAAATGCTCAAAGTCGCCTCCTACTGTCCTTACCCGAGTCTTAGCCCCATCATACATGTCTTTAATCGCCATAATGTAGGGAACCGACACACCTTTTACCTCCAAGCATCTCCAAAGAACTTCCCTAGGAACATTGTCATATGTTTTCTCTAAGTCAATAAACACCATGTGCAGGTCCTTCTTCCTATCTCTGTACTATTGCACCAACCGCCTAACAAGGTGTATAGCTTCTGTTGTAGAACGACCCGGCATGAACCCGAACTGGTTGTCGGATACAGACACCGACATCCTCACCCTCGCCTCAATCACCCTCTCCCACACTTTCATGGTGTGACTAAGTAATTTAATACCCCTATAATTGTTACCACTCTGGAAATTCAGAAAGAAGGGCAAATATTAATATTCATAGTCATCGAAGGCAAAGAGGAGCATTTGCTTAGCAGTAGAAAATACTTTTAGTCAAGTAGTACATATTGAAGTGGTTGGCCTCTCATTTTCATAAGAGAAACGTGTTCGTCCAGGTGTGACTTGTCAGTGTTTCTTAAACTTCCAATGGAACATCAATTATTTCTATTTGTCAATAGCAAAAAAAGTTTCTGAAAGAAGGGTTTTTTTAGTAGTATAGTTTCGGTTAATAAAACATGAAACTTTAAACCATTTCTTAGTTTTAATTTAATGTATACGTTGTTAAGATCATCCTTAATTGTTCTTAGATAGATTTATAGAAAAGGGTTAGTATGAAGAAAGGAAAGAAGGCAGAAGGAAACCGATGACAAACTGAAACTTCATGCCATGCTTCAATGTATAATTTATATAATTTATGTATTTGGTTAGAAAAAGTAAATAATGAATATGGATGGCTAGTTGATGTAATGTAGATATTTTAAGCTGTATCGACTCTGAATTGCATATCCTGATTTGCTTCTAATGTAATCCACTCAAGTCTGAGTGCTTGACAGCAATCCAAAATATTAAACAATTCAAACTCACCACTCTAACCTCGGCAAGACAGAAAAAATAGACACGATGACAAGAAAAAGCCAAAGATCAACCCCATCTAGACATAAAAAATCATATAACTATAGACAATTTACTTTTCTTGCACATCACTCAAATTTCAACAAAGAAAAGGTTCAGCAATGGCAACCTACATACCTTTGACAAGTAAATGCTGCATGAGATACATTAAGCTAAAATCAGAATAAACTTTTCTTAAATCTTGAAGCCTTACAAATCCTCGTTTGTCTATAAAAACAGGATGAGCAAAGGTTAGAAATACAACTCCTATTTTCTTTCAACTGCTGTTTTTTCTTTCTCATCAGCTAATAAAACATTATTTCCCCTTAATCTTAGCTACCATGGATAAAAGAACTGATCAACTTCATATATACTTTTTGCCAATGATGGCTCCAGGCCACATGATACCACTAGTGGACATGGCCAGGCAATTTGCTCGGCGTGGTGTGAAGGCAACCCTTGTCACGACTCCTCTCAACGCACCTAAATTCTCCAAAACAATCCAAAGAGACAGAGAGCTGGGCAGTGATATTAGCATCCGTACGACCGAGTTCCCTTGCAAGGAAGCTGGATTGCCAGATGGCTGTGAAAACTTAGCTTCTACTACTAGTACAGAAATGACCCTGAAATTCATCAAAGCCCTGTACTTGTTTCAACAACCAGTTGAACAGTTCCTAGAAGAAGATCATCCAGATTGTCTAATAGCAGGCACTCTCTTCCCTTGGACTGTTGACGTTGCAGCCAAGCTGGGAATTCCAAGACTAGTTTTCAGTGGCACCGGTTTTCTTCCTCTTTGTGCTTATCACAGTTTGATGGAACACAAACCTCACTTGACGGTCGAATCTGACACAGAAGAGTTCATCATCCCTGGCCTTCCTCACACAATAAAGATGTCAAGACAACAGCTTTCTGACCATATAAAGGATGAAACAGAAAACCCAATGACTGAAATAATTAAAGATGTGATGATAGCAGAAATGACTAGTTATGGAGCTATTGTAAACAGCTTTTATGAGCTAGAACCAAATTATGTAAAACATTACAGGGAAGGGGTAGGGAGAAAAGCATGGCACATTGGTCCAGTTTCACTCTGCAATAAAGACAATGAAGATAAAGCTCAAAGAGGACAAGAAATCTGCTTTTCTGAGCATCAGTGTTTAGATTGGCTCAATTCCAAGAAACCAAAATCAGTCATTTACATCTGTTTCGGCAGCATGTCGATCTTTTCATCGGCTCAGTTGCTTGAGATAGCAATGGCTCTTGAAGCTTCAGACCAGCAATTTATTTGGGTGGTGAAGCAAAATACAACAAATGAAGAGCAGAATGAGTGGATGCCAGAAGGATTTGAGGAAAAGTTGAAGGGACGAGGTCTGATAATAAAAGGATGGGCACCACAGGTGCTGATCCTTGATCATGAAGCCATTGGAGGTTTTGTCACTCACTGCGGATGGAACTCGTCGCTGGAAGGAGTAACTGCTGGAGTTCCAATGGTTACGTGGCCACTGTCAGCGGAGCAATTTTTTAATGAAAAGCTGCTCGTAGAGATTTTAAAGATAGGAGTTCCAGTAGGTGCTCAGGCCTGGTCGCAAAGAACAGACAGCAGAGTCCCAATAAACAGGGAAAACATACAGAGAGCAGTGACCAAACTGATGGTTGGCCCGGAAGCTGAGGATATGCGAAGCCGTGCAGCTGCCTTAGGAAAATTGGCTAAAATGGCCGTGGAGAAAGGTGGATCCTCGGACAACAGCTTGGTTTCCTTACTAGAAGAATTGAGGAAGAAGCAAAGCAACTCCAACTGATGGGAATTAGTCCATATATGATCAAACTAGACTGCTAATAAAAATGAGTAGGTTTATCTACTAGACATCTTTGTATTTGTGTAAACACAGTTCAAGAGAATTCAACATTATGAGCAGGAAGGAAGACATAAGCAAGAAGAAAAGGAAAATATGGATATGATAAATTCTTCAGCATCAAATGAAATATTTTAAAGAATATGTCCCATCTTATTTAAATCAATTCCAGGAATAACAAAAAGTGTGTTTAATTATTCAATTATGTATACCATTTTAAGTATGCAAATTCCTGTGCGTAGACCACCAGAGCTATGATTGTTGCAAAAATATCCTACCAAATGCTAATTGATGGACTCTATAGAAGGAATTGTTTTAGAAACCAATATAGAAATTCAAGATATACTGAAAAGACTGATACTCTTATAATATGAAGAACACTTGTTTCTACATATACTTCGTCGATTGCAACTACTGCAAACATTGCAGCTTCTCCTTATATCCGAATAGAAGAGCGCAAGTAATCAAATAACAAACCACTATCACAGGAAGAGTCTTAATTCTTATGGGGCTAAAATCTCATGATTTACCTATGTGTGAAAAAGAAATTTGAAGTCCAACTCAATCAATATTTTGTGAACATGTTTTTGGTTTTCTGGAGGTAATAAAATTATTTTGAATTTCTATGGTTCCAAAGTAAAAACTTTGAGAACAATGAAGAAAGAAGCAGAGCCAGGGAATTAGATATTTTCAAAAGTCCTAGTATGAATCATCTAAACCTGTCGTTCTGAAACAACGTTTTATCATGTGATTGGCTAATACAAATTGGAAGTTTAATTCTATGCGGTAATGGTATAAAAATTATTTACACAAATATTTCACTTATTAGGTAATTACAGTTAAATTTCTTGATAAGTATTAAATGGTAATCTGGAAAAAATGATAATTGACATTCTATTATTACTTAAGATTCGCCGGGTAGCGTAAAAGAAACCTTACACTGTCACTATATATAACTTAAATCATATATATATATATATATATAAAAAAAAAACTTAAATCCTAGGTAATATAATCATTTCTTAGTTTTATTGTATGTATTGTTAACGCGTGCTTAGTTGTTCCTAGATTAATTTATAGAAAAGGAAAGTAAGAGGAAAGTAAGACTTGCGGAGAAGGTGAAAGAAAGAAAGAAAGATCCACCAATGTATGTGCAACAAATCAGCAATAGATGTGCTTAAACCAGTCCTGAATTAATTTGCCATTCAAATATAAGACTAGATCCAACACATAATAATATGATAACCACAGGTCTAATTTACTTTTCTTGCATCAAAATTGTCAAAGTACAAAAGGTCAGCAGTGGCAACTTACATACCTTGGATTTCACAAGTACTGGTCCCATGAAGACATTATCAAAATCAGAGGCGTCGAAAAATCACCATTTGTCTATAAAAACATGATGAGAAAAGAAGGTTAAATATACAACACCTCCTATTTTCTTTCAGCTACTGTTCTTTCTTTCCTCTTCAGCTGATAAAGCTTTTTTTCTTATCTATTCCTTGGCTACCATGGATAGAAAAACTGATCAACTTCACATATACTTTCTGCCGATGATGGCTCCTGGCCACATGATACCACTAGTAGACATAGCCAGGCAATTCGCTAGGCGCGGGGCGAAGGTAACCATTATCACGACTCCTCTCAACGCGTCTACATTCTCCAAAGCAATCCAAAGAGATAGAGAGTTGGGCAGTGATATTAGCAACCGCACGACCGAGTTCCCTTGCAAAGAAGCTGGATTGCCAGATGGCTGTGAAAACATAGCTTCTACTACTAGTACAGAGATGTATCTGAAATTCATCATGGGCCTATCCCTGTTTCAACAACCATTTGAACAATTCCTAGAAGAAGATCATCCAGATTGTCTAGTAGCAGCCCCTCAATTTTCATGGGCTGTTGATGTTGCAGCCAAGCTGGGGATTCCAAGACTATTTTTCAATGGCACTGGTTTTTTTCCTCTTTGTGCTTTACATAGTTTGATGGAACACAAACCTCATTTGAAGGTTGAATCGGAGACGGAAGAGTTCATCATCCCTGGCCTTCCTGACACAATAAAGATGTCAAGGCAACAACTTCCAGACCATTTAAAATGTGAAACAGAAAGCATAATAACTGAAATTGTTAGGAATATTATGAAAGCAGAAATGACTAGCTATGGATCTATCGTAAACAGCTTTTATGAGCTGGAACCATATTATGTAAAACACTGGGAACTGAAAGGGAGAAAAGCATGGCACATCGGTCCAGTTTCACTCTACAACAAAGACAATGAAGATAAAGCCCAAAGAGGACATGGAACCTCCTTTTGTGAGCATCAGTGTTTGGATTGGCTCAATACCAAGGAACCAAAATCAGTCATTTATATATGTTTCGGCAGTATGTCTGTCTTTTCATCCACTCAGTTGCTTGAGATAGCAATGGCTCTTGAAGCTTCAAACCAGCAATTTATTTGGGCAACGCAGGATGCAATCAATGAAGAGCAGACGTGGATGCCAGAAGGATTTGAGGAAAAGCTGAAGGGACAAGGACTGATAATCAAAGGATGGGTACCCCAGGTGTTAATCCTTGATCATGAAGCCATTGGAGGTTTTGTGACTCACTGCGGGTGGAACTCGTTGCTGGAGGGAGTAACTGCTGGAGTGCCAATGGTCACGTGGCCACTGTCAGCGGAACAATTTTTTAATGAAAAGCTGCCCACGGAGATTTTAAAGATAGGAGTTCCAGTAGGTGCTCAGGCTTGGTCTTACAGAACAGATAGTACAGTCCCAATAAACAGGGAAAACATACAGGGAGCAATCACCAAACTGATGGTTGGTCAGGAAGCTGAGGAGATGAGAAGCCGCGCAGCTGCCTTAGGAAATTTGGCTAAAATGGCTGTAGAGAAAGGTGGATCCTCTGACAACAGCTTGGGTTCTTTACTAGAAGAATTGAGGAAGAGGAAAAGCAGCTCCAACTGATGGGAGTTTGTTTATATGTGATAAAACAAGACCATCATAAAAATAAGTAGGTGTATCCACTAGACATCTTTGTATTCGTGAAAACTCAGCTCAACGGAAATCAACCTTATGAACATGAAGGAAGACATAAGCAAGAAGAAAAGAATATGGAAATGATAAATCCGTCAGCATTAGATGAACACCGGAGAAAAATTTGTTCTTCCCATCGCATTAACATCAATTCAAATAGGGATAAGTGTGTGTTACTAGTCTATTAAATTCAATTAATGTAATACCATATTACCATTTTTAAGCATGCAAAATTCTTAGGAATAGACCAGTCCTATTATTGTTGCAAAATACCATAGCAAATGCTAATTGGTGGCCTCAAAAGATGGACCTGATTTAGAAACAAAAATAAAAATTCAAGTCATACCCAAAAGACTGATTCTCTTGTATGAATAACACCTTTGCCTTATGCTTGATTAGAAGAGTGCAAGTTATCAAATAACAAGTCACTATCGCAGAAAAATTGTTAAATCTCTTATGGGGCTAATGTCTAATGATATAGCAAATTTGGTGATATCTTCTGTGTCTTGTTAGAAATCGAGAAAAAGCTACGTGCAGTTCAGTTATATTAGAAAATTCTATCTATTAAACTTTATTCTCAAAGTGTTAGTCAAGGCCAGAGGGTGGAAACCTAATGTTTCTGGTTTTAAACATGAAAAGGACAACAAACTTCATTTATCTGTACTGAACAATAAGAGCCCACATTAACTCAACTTAGGACATACTACCTTGACACAACTGATATTATGATCTGATGTGAATTGAGACACTGATATGATCAGAATTCTTCATTTAACAATCAGACCCGAGACCATAATTCGGGATTACAGAAGTTGTATAAACAGCATATACAATTAACCCAACAAGGCCAACTACAAAAGTTGTATCGATCCATCAACTATGCCTCAATCCCAATCAACTACCAATTTACCAACTCAGCCAAGTGAAATAGCAATGGCGCTAAATCACTCATGACTACAATATGTAAGGATGGTGACAAATGAAAACATTAATGGGACATGAAATGAAGAGTGGTTGCGAGAAGGCTTAGAGCAGAAGTACTAAACCTTGACCAGGGTCAATCGATCAAAGGTTGGGGGTGTAAGTACTAATCCTTGAGCCAAAAGCAGGAAAAATTTCTTCCTTTTTCAAAGATTTTAAAGTTATTAAGCCAAGAGCAACTCCAGTTTCCATGATTTAAAGTTATTTAAGTTATGCTTCAAATGGAAATAGGAGTAAAGATTGGGAAACCAATAAAGATCATAAAATAAGTCAGCAAAAAATTGGGCCTCGGGGTAGCTTAGGTAAGAACTGAAAGAAGATTCATTGATAAAACTTTACTCTGTGACTGTTTGCAACATTAAACTAGAAACATAAATCCGATCCGAATAAAAAAAATAAAAGGAAGTTTTATTATTGTGGTATACCAGCCACCTGTTCTGGAACTTTCAGTTCCAATCGAAGCATATAGATCCGTAAATAGATTTGTTGTTGGAAAATTTGATAGATATTGGATTATGGAGAATAAGATTAGCTTGAGGCGTGTCAAAGACATTGTTCTTAAGGATATTTCGCCCACACTGTGGTAAATAATATTAGGCGTATCCCCCGGATTCAACAAGCTCTTCTAGTATAACTAGGAGCAGAAACAACAAAGATTAATCAAAGACAACCCAGCACAATAAAAAGAAATTCAACAAGCTTTTTTCACTCTTTCACATCTTTTTTAAATTGAACACAATATACATATATATAGTCCAAAGTGGACATATGATTGTCAAGAAAGAATCATTCCAAAACCAAAGCCAAGAAACGTTATATATATATAAAGGTCATTAAGCATGTAACGTTATCAAATGGTTAGATTCAAAAAACTAATTGATTTTGATAGCCATAATAAATAATAATAGTTATTTAAAGCTAATAAAATATTATATTCAAAGCTATTCAAATTTACTATTACTCACATTAAATGTATTCAAATTAATAGTATAATAAAGATCCAATAATATAATATAACAAGAATGAACCTAGACAACAATTTGAATATCTCTTTTTGAGTTACCAAATTATTTTTCTAACAATCCCCCACATAACTCAAAAATAATATTAAGTAATAAAGTGAAATAAAAAGTTTTGTTGAGTTTTCACAAATGAGCATAATGCGTCGAATCTGGTGTCTCTTGGACTATGAACCAAACCTAGATAAAATAAGATTAA